TCATCAATTTCTGAAAACTTTAAGAAATAGAGAACCAATGAAATCACTGATCCCAGGGCGTGTCCAGAAGGGGGGGGGGGGGGGGGGGGGGGGTCGGAGTTGGTTCTGAAATTTTTAATTGCCGAGTTAGCCAGTAACTGGCAGCGGCGGGTCCGTCCGGAAATCGTGGGTTTTAAGAGCGTGGTTTTAGAAGCGTTTCGAAATACGAAATGATAAAGAAAAAGAATTTTTCAACATTCGGATTTTCGCCTCGAAACTCTCGATGTTTTGTCAAATATTCGAGAAAATTACAAGACAGCACCACAAAAACGTTTAATTTTTCCGGTAATGCTTCCGTGAGTTCCGCCTACGTACGAAGGGGTCGTGGGATACGATCTAGGTTCAGTCGGATAACGGTAGAATTACAGCCATTAACGCTACAAAGAAAAATGCAAATTTAAGTGGATTTTTGACGTATTTTCACTGATCACTTTGTACAAGCACTTGACAGGAGCTACACGCTTTCTAGTGCTTTTTGACGGTTTTCACTGTTTTTGCACGTTCTGGCATTCCTATGTCTTGCAACAGATTTTTAGTTAGTGTTATGCGCGATTCACCATCACGCTTTTGTGAAGTAGTTTATAATTTGTGGATAACTTATTATTATGGTCATAATAAGAAACTGAAGAATTGCAGTAATACAACAGCAAATACAAAGAAAAATTCTTACCCCAAAATGGCAAAATTTCTACCCGCCCCCAAATGACAAAACTCTCGACTCGGGAGTAATTCCTCCTCGAACTCCCCTCCCCCACCAAAAAAAAAAAAAGTTTCTGCCAGGAGCGGAATCACATTATAAACTATTCAAACTTGCGTAGCTGCGCGTAGCAGTAGCGAATGATACATTGAAGACTAAACAAAGGGGAAAACATTCGAAAAGAGAAATTGCGGAATGTTTTAAAAAAAGTTTGGAGTGACTGTCCTACAACTTACGTATTTATTTTGATAATAAAGATCAAATTTTTGAACATTTGTCAAATTTTGACGATTCCGACTTATAATAATAGGTCGTATTGTCTTCACGACGAATCAGAAAATAATCAAAAATGCCGCTTTGACATTGAACACCTAAAAATGTTGAAATTGTCGGCCTCGGTGGTACAAATTTGGCGATAAAAGTTATTTCTTTCGGATAAAATTAGAATTAGTGCCAACAGGGTGAAAAATCAATGACTTTCCAATTTTATGCGTAATATTATTGCTATATTTAGGTATTGGCTTGTTTCGAGCCTTGCTCTGAGCAATTTTATCTCCTTGGAGATAAGACAGAGAGAAAGGAGAAACATGCTGCTCGGATAAATGAGCCTATACTGCTTAAAACCGACCGAGAATAATTTGGCATATATGATCATGTTTATTCCGGCTTCAGCATCGTTGCATTATACGCATTTGGCTCCACTGGCATAAAGGCATAAAAAGAAGGATTGGGAGTTAGTCTCGCGCGACCTAACCCCCAATATCATGAATTGTTCGAAAACGAATTCAATTCGGATATTTAGAATAGTTGCACTATATAATTCTTAAATGCAAATTTAATTTTACGTTTTTTTTATAGATTTGTGGCCCAACGGAAATTTTTTTGCGATCCAGCAGTGGATCCGCATGCATATAATAAAAGTATGCTGTAGCAAGAGTAAAGATAACTATCCTAAGTTTATCATAAATTTGTCGATATATTGCTCAATTTTAAAAATTTATAATCTAAATCAATTATGAGAGAAAATTCTAGAAAAATATGAAATTGTACATAATGCGAAACTATTTTTATCATATTTTCCAAATTTTCATCCAAAAGAATTGATTTCATTTTAGACGCAAAAACATCAAAATGTTATCATTATTTCAAAAATTTAGCATTTGACCTTGAAGTATGACTTTCAAAGCACGATGTGACCTCTAAACGACCTCTAAATGCGTTCAATGTCACACGTTATCACTAAGTCCAATCCCACGACCTTTCTACAAAAAATAAAAATAAACATCCTAGTTAAACCTATAAAAATAATTGGACCTGTACTGTGACGTCATTTCCGTTGTTAATTTTTTCCCCAATAAGGCCACGCCCCATGTCAATCACTCGCATTAAACCCCGCCCATCATTATTGCTCAACTAGGAATACGAATAACAAACAATAATTTCATTCGCTCAATATGGCCGATGATAAAACCCACCCAGAATGTACGATTAATCACTGAATTATGTCTGGCCGTATATAAATAAGTTCCGCGAAAGAATTCCAATAGTTCAAGTGTTTATTCTGTATTCGAGTCGACGTCCGATCTCATTCGTTACACTTTACAAACAGCTGGTCAGCTGAGGGGGACGCGAACATTTTTTCCTTTTTTTCTATGTTCGGGGAGAGCGCCGATGTGGGGTAGAAAAAGATGAACAAACTTGGTAATAATTTACCAAGTTGGTAAATTATTGGTTCCAATATACAAATTGGTATATTGTACCAATTTACAATATTTCCTCACTGTTAATATAACAAGGCCAAGTCGTGTGATATTTGAAAGCGTGGGTGTTCGGGCACAAAAAAAATTTGAAAATCCTGGCCTGAAGCATGAAAATTCTATTAGCAAAAGCTTGACTGGCGGAAAACTAAAAAATTACAAAGTCAAATTGATGGGAGGTTTCCAACATATTCAGCCTTTGGTAAAATTAAAAGTTTGCTGTACACTTGACAATTAAAAAATTAGGCTAACGGTTGACGGAAACATCATGCTTTCCATGCTGGAACAAAGCCTGTCTGTAGTCAGTTGGGAGATAAATTTACGACCCCAAGTCGACAAAGTAAGACCGAGATCGCCATGGAGATCAGTTTAGTCTCAATTTCGATCGCTGTTCTGCGGGACACAGTTTGAGAAGCACTGCCAGTGAAAGAAGAAGCGTACCATAAGCCTAGAAATACTCGTTTAAAAAATGAAATTTTCTTACAAAAAAATGACAACTTTTATGAAGTGATAATCCAATTCCAAAATATTACTATGACGTCAAAATGTACCTCAGTGATAAAACAAACACGTCAGTGACATCACAGAGCGAGCTGCATTCCTTCTGCAAAGTTATGAATGGCGAGGAACTTGTGTCAACATCCGCTAGTGAAGTGTCTCGTGAGGTCGTAAATATGTCATAACTAGAATAACCCGGCCGAGTATAATCAGTATATAATCCGCGCATAATCGTGTGAGTTATGTACGGATCACACTCCGTCCGGAGATAGCGAGAAATCACTAATATCGAAATATTTCTCCTAATTCGTGAGGCTGCGCCGAATAACTGTTATGGGTTTTATTTCCAAAGTATATTTTTCAAGACAGCAAAAAAGCAAAAATTACAAAATAACAGTTGCATTTCACTTTATAATTTTTACAGAATCCCCCCCCCCCCATGAGAATACGAGAAAAACATAAACTGCAAATTTGAATACTGTATTTAGCGCTATCCTGATATTCCTACTAATTTTCTGCGGGTGGGAGCCCGTTTCCTTCCTTTTAAAATAAAAGTAAAAGCATATTCCTGTATCGTGCATAGGAATTTTTGGTAGCTTGAAACCTTTTTAGACTCTCAACGTCTCAAGTCTCTTGAAAACTCAGTTTTCGGACGGGGTATGGTCTAACTTGACAATTAGGAATTCCAGACCAACTCCTGAAAACTCGTGGCTATGCCTCTGCAAGCAGCCAATGAATAATACCTAAGAAGTTACTATTTTTTAAGCAACCCGATTTACAACCTTAGTGAGGTGAGGCGCATTAGGCCTGAGCCAAAGCTCCACTTGTGACGGGAGTCAAAACCGGAGTCGTGTTTTCAAACTCCGGAATCCGGATATTAAACTTTGAATTGCGATGCCAGAAGAAAAATTTTTGTAAAATCTGTAAATTTTATCCGACTACACGGTTCTGATTTGAACTAAAAACTAGAAATTCTCAAATGTTTGACAAATAACCCAAATTACGGTCGCTTTTATCGACTATTTTATGTCAAAAACCAATTCTAAACACAAAACAAACGGAAACCGGTAATCAACGCCTAAATTTCATCCAAAATTGGTCGTTGCCATGGTAATTATAGAGCGAATTTCAGCGATAGCAATCAAAGTGCGCGTGAAATGACGCGTTTGAGGCATATCATCATATATACATGCTTTCATCTAGTTAAACAGGGTAAGCGACATCGCGAAGTATAGTGATGTGGAGAAGATTTCTCAAACTTTTGGTGTTATGGCAAACTTAATGGGCATTTCATTATATTTAAACAAAATATTATTACGGTATTCAGGTCAATTCGAAATTATATTTGATATTTCAAGGATAAACAAGAATAGTTTCATTTGAACGATATGACCAAAAACGTTCTCCTAAAGCAGATTTCTCAAACTTCTGATTTCACGGAGCCCGTGAAGATGTTGAACATTATTTACGGAGCCGCACAACATATTCATAAAGATGAAAACAAAAAAAACATCGTTGCTTGTTAAAGATTAATTTTCCTGAGTAAATCAAAATTACTTTACTTAACGACTCGGATGTATTTGCTGCTTTATATTTAAAAAAATTTTATTAATGTCGTTATTGCTTCTTTGGACAATTGCAAAATTCTTCAATCAGTATTAGCTTTCTGTCCTCCTGACCAGTGGGTAAACCGTCGCAAACCATCTATTTATTTTACCATCAATTTCATGGAAGCTTCCAAACTTCTCTTAACTTAATAATTATTTAAACACAAAGTACCCCCTATATTCTTCCCAAATCCAAGTAAACGAAAATACGGAAATATTCGGAACATTCAGAAAAAAATAATAACTGAAAAGTGAAAAAAATAACCCAACATTTTCTGGCGAAGCTTGATATGGATCATTGCTTAAAAACAAAATACCCCCTTTCTATGCCCTAATTCAAGAAATAAAATAACTCCCCCCCCACCCCCCACCCCAACTGAGGAGTAAAAAAAATGAGCTTACCAGGAGTTCTTGATGTGTTATGGAATGGTCGGTGTAAATCACAAGTTTCTGGGCGGTAAGAGGAATCGTTTCTTTCACTTTAGATGCAATCAGCATGCAGGAAGCGCCTGGAATGAAAGTGGAGTCAGTTGGTAATCGAGCGGGTAATCTAGTTGGGGTCAACGTAATCCACAACTCAATGGACGTTTCCCCGACCTTTGACCCCTGAAAAGTTCTTCCTATACTTCACAATTGCAAAATTTTTGCCGCTCCCGAATACATTCTATGTCAAGAGAGTGATGATCAAATACATGGACATGAAAACCAAAACAAAGTATTACGTGTATGCAATCTATCAGGGTGGACTTCCTCAGTCTTAACGACTTCGCCTGGCCACCAAAATCAAAACAAAAGCCGGCCATCACTTTGTCATAAAATGTCACCACGATGTCATAAAACGTGTTCAAACACGTAAAATTTTACCCTTCGCGGGCCAATTGCATCTTTAACCACTCTGAATAAAATCACTAGAAAAATACAAATAAGTACCATACCAAAAACGGGCATTTTTCAAGATTTAAGTTAGTAGAAAAGTAGAAAAATTACCCAAAAGTTGAAGCTGAGTTCGGCTGATAGCTCGCATGCCAAGGAAACGATCCAAGTAATTCATAGACAAGGGGAACACATCGTCTTCGCAACGCTGTTCCTCGCATACCTGGAAACAAAAAGGAACACTGAATAAACCCGCGTGTAACGATGATAAAATTCCGCACCAAGGTCATTTGAATGCAATGAAGTTCATTTGGTGGTAATGAAGGTCATTTGAATAAAATGAAGGTCATTTGGTGGTAATGAAAGTCATTTGAATAAAATGAAAAATATAAACAATCGTATGCTTATTATTAAAGCATATGTATTGAAATATATACATTCCCAAGAACTAGAATTTGCATACAAGCGGGGAAAGGCCAAAAAACGAATAATTTGTAAGCCCAAATAAATTCTAAGATGATAAATGCAAAAACAAAGAATAGAGTGTAATCGAAATTAGGGCGCTCCCGAAGTATGTTCACCAAGATGGCGCACAACCTGAACCCTAACCTGGTACACATACTGTACTCAGGTTGTGCGCCATCTTGGTGCACATACTTCTGGAGCCCCGAATTCAGGCAATGTTTATTAAACAGCGCATAAAAAGTCAGATCTATATAAATAATACTATGCAACTTAAAAGTCCCGCTGCATAATGACAAACATGTATTTCTGTTGCGTTTGCCTGGCCGAAATCAGACCTAGTCAGACGAGCAGTTATCAAAATTTACTGACGATATGTACGTTCCATAAACTGACTATTGGACATATCGTCGTTGTGCCGTACCTCTTTGTCTTGTGTATTGTATTAGAGTTTTATTTGTATAGCCTATTCCATGTTTTTTGTCCTAGTATAACGCAGCAGTCCTAAACTGCTGTTATAATTGTTGGGGTGCATGTCGCACATCTGTGTCTTAGGCCAGTAAGGTCTTAAACATGTATCCCGTCTCTGTTATTATTATGCATGTTATATTTTTGAAGCAAATAAACATACGTACATAGAATTATATAGAAAAATGGTGGCAATATCGAATGACGCGAGAATTGCAGCAGTTCAAGAACTTCAAGTTACGGTCAGAAATTAAGACCGAAGTTTTGAAAAAACTTTTGGCTTGACGATGTTATTTTCTATAGGCGACACTATTCTTTCCGTTTACGAGCTGAACGTTGATAGATAAGTGATGGTCCGTTGGCACCGGGTATTTATTTGACATTTCGGGGAATTTTCAAACCGTCATTTCGATTTTAGGAATAAACAGGAGAGCGATGCTCAAATATATGATCACGAAGATCACAACGCCATAGTATGCAATCTGTCACAGTAGATTACCGCATGACCACCAGATCGCTAATGCGAACCGGGAACTGCCACAAGGTGCGCAATTTTATTTTTATGACGTCAACACATACAAAAAACGAATCACAAAGAGCCCACAAAAATCTTGGAATAAATAAAAGTAATAGCCTTCTAGCGAAAAATGCAATCTTTAATCACTGAAAATTTCAAAGCAATTGGTCCAGTAGTAAATGAGAAAACAGGATTTTTCATAACAACAAAAATATGAAAAAGAACATAATGATAAAACGATCTGTTAAGCATGGCCCTTGCCAACACTCAGATTTTTCCCAATCAAGCTTAAATCCTTATCCGACAGTTTATGTTTGAAAAGGCGCTCACATGGTGAAAAATACATAATGATTTTTGCTCTTGTCATTGCGTTAAATCTTCTGCCGTTACTGTAAAGCTGATAGCCGCATTTTCTTATCTTGCCTATCCCGCTGTGGTTGTCACAAATTTTTTACAGTATGTGTACCAGGTTAGGATTAGGCAATTATTTTATTCCGATTTTCCTTCTTTTAGTTCTATTACGAGTTCGGAGACGGTTCGTGTTAGCCAAGTTAATATAACCTCTGCCCATGGGTTTCAGTCCTTTTACACGACTTGAGGTTAAATACGCGAACAAAACTAGTTACCTCCATATTGATACACTCACTCGTTGTGTGCATGGAAAAACTAATGTTTTCGCGTGTCCCAATTAGATGTCCGAAGTTGGTTATATGGTTAAAATTTGTTGCGCATTCCTGTCCCAGAAAGTCTGTTGACGACCTATGGCGTGCAAGTCAAGGCAAGTTGAAGACATTTCAAGACTCTATGACGTAATATTGCATAGCCTTATTGCTCCACAATTGATCCGGTCATAAGTTAATTCAGACGCAACACTATTTTATAAATTCATTATGACGTAATAAATACCGGCGAGTCTCAAGAACGGAGGTGCATATGAGGCCAAAATTGGTTGGATTTGATGGAAAATAAAACGAAAAATGTGTGAAAAGTCCCGAAATTGAGTAAACTGTTGCAAAATGTTTTGAATTGCCCACACAGGCGCCACGTTGCCTGTGTTCACTAGTTTATTATTAGAAAACAGCTGATTTGTAAGTTTTGACCTAATTTTTTGCGAGTTGGGCGATTCCGTTTATTCATCCGAACCTAAATAGTCAGGTCAATCACGAAAGTTTGCTCGGATCAAAATTTCGGGCCATCAACTAAAAATGGAATTGGAATGTTCCAAGCAAACAGTGACGCGCAATGAGTTATCCACGCACAGTGAGGCCGCATTCGGAACAGCGCATTGCGCACAGTGAGTATTGCTAATTTATCCTGTTTGAGATGAGCGTGATATATTTTAGCTCCTCCCACTCCCCCTATCTCAAAAAAAAAAAGAACCAAAATATAACGCAAATTCGTTATAAAACAGCTCATGGAGTGTTGGTGTTAAATTCTTGATGCCTATTTCCGAAGCGGTTATTAATAGTCACCGTTGCCGTTAATTTACCGTGGAACATATATGGATCGAGCGAAGCAAAAACGATTTCATGCTTGAATATATATGTAATATATGTATATGTATGTGTATAATGGGGTTTAATGATCGGTTCGTGCGCGTCGGCGCTGTAAGATGAGAATTTTTGTGAATGAAAAACGGGAAATGAACTGTGAAAGAAAAGAAAAAAATTAACCTCAATTTTGAATGTATGTAATATGTAAATTCTAGTTACGCAATCTATATATTTTTTCTGAAATCGAGAAAAAAAACATTGCGTGGCCGAAATTTCTGTTTAACCATTTCCTGATCGTGTAGCCTTGAAACGCTTCAAGTGTTGCGTCAGTATTTACTTGACGAAACTGCACTACCAGGACTTTATAGTTTCAGAAGCTCTCGGCCAGTGATTCTCAAACTTTTCAAGCCGCGTCCCATTTTCTAGAGTTTGTCAAGTCTCGTGCCCAACTTCAAAAATAACTAGCTAACAATAAGCTACAAATAACAGATATTAAAGCAAAAGTATGTTTTATTAAAAAAAAAAAACGTTGGAAATGAGTGGATGGAACGTAAATAATGAAATAAATTTCCAAATCCGAAAATAGCATTTATTTCAATAATGCATATTGTGGAGGCATAATAACTGCGTTTGCAAAAAGCGCGGGATTGACTCGAGCACTTCCAGTGGTGAGCGGGAACGAAATAAAACTGTCAGATCATTTCACGTATCATTGTATGGCCGGGCAATTATGCTCGAATTCCTATTGTCCTGTGATTTTGCTCAGTCAAGCATATCCGGACAGCATCACCAATTTGTATGGTTGAATGATTTGTTCTGCCAATGAGGCGAATTGTTCGGAGTTTTTTTTTTAACAGATTCACGAAAAATTCGAAATAATGTCCGTATTTAAAAGTAATAAAACTCATATATATAGATTCAGTTTGAATAAATTTTGCCGATTCAATAGTTTTGGGGTAGCAAACATAATTCTAACATGCCACAAATTTTCATAAAAGTTAGAATTTTGCGTCGAAGTTCGAATCTGTTTCGATATCCTATGCGACGTAATTGTACTGATAGTCAAATGACACACTGTTTCATAAAATATATGAATTCGCCATTGAACAACAGACTGGAATACAGTTCGAATATGATTCTATTAAAGGCAAAGCAGTGGAATTTATTCACTTGATCGTCGACAAATAAAATGAAATCGAATATTTTGTAAACTGAAGCACACATATTTCCAATTTACATATTAACGCCATTTCAACTGTATCGTTTTTCTAGTGTTTACTGGTAATCGTCAACCGTTCGCCGGTCCAGTATCCGAGGCGCGAATGCATGTTTGTTTACTGCTTGTATGATACGAAACAACACTAATGAAAGAATCATTATATTAACCGACATTCGGTTAGTTATTAGGGTACTCTTGAAGTATGCGCACCAAGATGTCGCACAACCTAAACCCTAACCTGGTACACAACCTGAGTTCAGGTTGTGCGCCATCTTGGTGCGCAGACTGCAGGAGGTCCGTTATTAGTCTTTACTATCCGGGAGCGTAGACATGGGAGAGGAGGCGTAACCAGGAGGGTGGTTTGGGGGGCGATACCCCCCTTTTGAAATGTAAAAAAATAAAACCATTTTTCGCAATTTTTCATATCTTGAAACGTTCTCAAGACTCGTGGAAACACACGTTTCCCGGCGTTCGGCCGGACCCCGCTTGCTGTTTCTATCTAACTAGAAATTTCGGAACCCACCCTTTGAACATTTCTGGCTGGCTACGCCTCTGGGGGCTACGGAGGAGGTTGATTCACACTAAACGCTTCGGGGTGAGTCGTTTCTTTAAACATTCTCCTTTTCCAGTTTATTTCCCATATAAATGTCAAAACTCGTTTTGCTGTGACAACATTTTATTTGATAATTATTTTGGAACAATCGCCTTTATGACTAACAGTGATGACTAGTTTCAAAATGTGTTAAAATCCGGTAAAAGCGGGAATTCTGTTTGTGACATGAATGGGAAATGAAATCACTTTATAGCTATAAAAAACTTATTGCACAACAATCATCACGGGGAAAATAAGGGAAACTAACAAAGACAGTTTAAAGATGGGAATTTATTTATGTAGGATGGTCGCCTGAATAGGAAGGATATAATATTTTTGAAACGGAGGCCAAAAATTTTGCTTAACTGGACTGGCGGGCTATATTAGTGTGACCTAAAAAGTTATGTTTCATGAACAATATTTACAGTGTTACAAAGCAAATGTGGAAAACGATATGCTTCGTGCCAAAACTAAATTTACCCGCAATCTCAACAAATTCCTTTTAGCTAAAACATCACAATTTTATTTCAGTTTGATTGTGGCAGCATCAGGCAGGCCAGATTAAATTACCCAACAAGCCGGATTTGGCCAGCGGGACGGTTTTAGACCATGTTTGATCTATTACAAATCGGATCTGAGTCAAATCAGGCCTATATACTTAGAAATTCAAGTTTATTTTCCGTGATTTTACAACATTGCCATCTTAAAATATTCACTGTCGAATTTTTGCTTTGAAATCTTCGTTATCGGTGACAAAACACGCCCGAGGGAGAATGTAAAATTCTTTGAGCAAATTTATAATAAATCACAGGTCAAGGGTCAGGAAGTGAACGCGGATGACCGTGAACTTAGAAATAAAAAACAAACAAATAAAAAAAGTAAACAGGGCGAGTTTAAATGCCTTTTTTCACACTTTAACATAATTTATTTCGTATACATATAAAGAATAAAATTATTGCAAGACTTCGGACGCATCCATAGAAATAAAGTTCAGTCATTTAAAATTGGTAAGTTCTTATAATCAATGGATCCTGGGTCTCTCCCCCCCCCCCCCCCCCCCCCCCTCAAAAAAACAATTTGAAAAATAATCATTTTTTATATTCGTTTTTAAATGTAATTTTGCGGCATTAACAGTAAGACATAAATTCATACGCCTTCTCCAATACCATTTCGCTCTATTCTCAAACGATTTACTGAAAACTTGGATGCTATCAATAATCTTTTCACCAAATGTACCAACCGAGATAAAGGAAATGCGCCCTTTATAGCGTGGATAACTTCAACAGCGAAGTACGTCTTAAGGGGGATCCTTTGAGACAATGTTAGATATCGGGCTTTGTTCGGAGTAAACTGCACGAGTGAGCATCGTACTACGTCATCATACTAGAAAAAATGACCCTCTTATCCCCCATTTTTGGCTGGCTATCATCTCGTTCAGGGTGTAATAAGTTCGAAAAGCAATTCCGAACCAAAAATCTTGTGCTTCAAAGTTACTTCTTTGACGCCTCGCTCTGAGTGAACTCCGCTTAAAATGCGCAGAAGGAGCGCAAAATATTTCTCAATATCAAAAAATCACCTCAAGCATCCACGTTGCCACGACCTTCCTCATGTATGGCTTGACATCTCTCTGAACGCACTCGAAGTATGTAGTCCTATAAATTCAAAAACAGAGAAGGTGAAAAATAATTAGAGGTAGGTTTGAGGCAGTGGTCCCGAACCGGGTCCCGCGGGCCAATTATGGCCCATGTAACTATTTAATATGGCCCGCTCAACTTTAGCGAAATAGTTGAATTGCACTTTATGTTTTTACCTTTTTGGCGTTCTAGACATGCCAATTGTTACGTATGTAAAACAGTTTAAGCAGTGTATATTCATAATAAATCAATCATATTGGTGTCTTGATTATACGTAATGGCATGGGCCCTTGCGTTTTTAATTTTGGCCCCCAGCGATCAACTTTGGGAAACACCATTCTAATGGCTTGGCATTATACGAATATATCTTATGCAAATGTAGTTTTTATGAATCGTTATAATAAAACAAGTGGTTAACCGGTTAATTTTGACAGAAATCGGGAAATGAATAGTGGGGCGATAACAGTAAAATCCTCACCTTGGCAAATACTTTTCTTCTTGTTTTAATAAATTCTGCAACACTCTGTCATCCTGTACCAATACTGGGTCCTTCTTCGCTCGTTTAATCCCTTCCAAGGAGCTTTCCGTGCATTCAAGACTCATTTTAGGGGGTTTGGGTGGTTTTAGCGGGGTCTTTTCTTATTTTCTTTAATTGTAGTGCAAAAAAATGGCACTTTTTTTTGGTCGGAGATCGAAAAAATTCTTTTTTTTTAGTAAAATGACTAAAACCACCGATTGAAAGTAAGTCTCATTGATACGTCATAATGACGACGCCACGGGTCATTGGAGTTCAGGGCTGGTTAGTGTGTTGTCCAATAGGACGTTGACACGTGGCTGAACTGTACTTTATGGGAGTATTATGTTTTAATAACTGAAAAACAAAAATTTCATTTTCAATAAGTTACGTTCGGATTCGAAATTTAAATTTTCTATCGGCTGGTTTTGACATAAAATACTACCTTGATTTTGAATTATGAACTAAAAAAACGATTCTCAAAGTTCTTATTTACAACGAAATTTGTTAAATTTTAACCCGACTAGGGTTCGAACCTAAGTTGTCAAAACTCTAATTTTTGGAATCTAATCTATCATTTGAACGCGTCGGAATTTGAAAATTTATTTCCCACAGTCTGTTCCAGCGGTGGTTTCCGGTTGCCGTTGACAGGAATAAAACCACACACGGTTACTTATAAAAATTATGTAAAGTACATATGAGTTTACGGGTAAATGTGGTAATAAAGCAAGGTGAAGATCGGCGGTTCAAGCCCCGTGTCTATCATGTTACTCAGATAATAGTTAGGGCAATACGAACCGGAAGTAATTATACAAATATTGTAACCCCTAGAAATCAGCGGCTGCTTACACAGAGCCTGGTTCGTAGTGCAAATATGAAACTGCCCGACTCGATAGCCGGATAGGTCGAGTTTCGAACTGCCGTTCAATGAACTTAACTATACAAGCAAAATTATATATACTAATTTTTGCACCACAAGTTATTCACACTAATTCTCTTTAACCAAGTAAGCTGTTTCCGAGACAGTATTGACTGGAATCGTTTCGAGTCCGACATTTATTCGATATTCACTCACGCACACATAATATAGCTTTAAAGGCTGCACACCCGATCTGCACAAATGACAGTTGCTTGCATGTTAAGTATCTTGAACCCTGGTCGGATATATGATGCGAAACGACCGATACAAAATTCTGGAAAGGGCAATTAAGTTGAGTTTTGATTACTCTCCTTTTTACAGTTTTCAGTAATTAAATGAAGCATTTTTATAAACACTGTGAGACTAAAATGTTATTATCACATTCGAAAATTACTAATTATTATTAATAATACTGACTATAATGTAAATGTAATGTCTGAAGCCAACGTCTAAATAGAGTCCTAAATTTTGCCTCAGATATCGAGATAATAAATTAAAAAAAAAAAAAGTTTGAAATCATTTCTAAAATTGTATGTCTACTCTATCGAATATCACCAATTCGAATATTCGATTCGTTTTTAAAGACAATACTTACTTAATTCGGTTGAAGCATAAAATTTTCTTCCACGCTAAGATCTCGTGGGAATGTAATGGCCTGTCAAGTACAAAGACTTTTTCTGTTTCAATCTCAGACGTAAAGATAAAAAGATTATATAACTTTCAAGCATGGCCCGAGGGTACGGCCCACAATTACCAACAAACCAAGTTTACGCGGAAATAATCTCTCCGCAAAGGAATGCCATCGACCTTTCTAAGCGTGGTAATTTTTGACGAAAAATCGACTCTAAAAATGCGAGAAAATAGCTCGGATTTCTCCCAAAAATTGCATTACGTATTGTTAAAAAGGTCGCCCGAGGTAAGACTCTATTTTTTGCTAATTTTTTTACTGATAGCTTTCATAAGGCAAGGCCGCCGCAGGTTATTGCTTTTTAGTGATGCAAAAACGAATTTAATATCAATTATATTTAAATTTTTACTTTTCATTATAAGGAATAATGTTTGAGTTCTTGATATTTTGGGATAATGCAAATAAGTTTAATTCGAAAAATTCTTATTAACCAATTCTCAGACAAGAGTGCGGGCCTAAAACAAATTAAGTTTCAGCCCAAAAGTCAAATGTTTGAAAAAAACGAATCTTCAAAAAGCTGTTTTTGAGAAAAAAGAAAACATATACTTTTGATTTGTATTTCGTGAATGCCAGCTTAAAAAACACCTATATTTTTGCAATTTTTTCAAATAAAAATTTTCGAAATTTTAACATCCGCATGTCAAGCAAACATCTTTCCGACCCCCATGCGATCCCTTGTCAAGGTTCATTGAATATTCAATCAGGCGTGTCAATATTCCGAAAAACCAAGTTTTGCCAACAAAACGTATCATTTCGGAAGTCAATATATTATCCCTGGCCCAAGTGTGATCCGTACTTAATAATTATAACTATATACCTCTTAAGTATGGCCACTGATAGTACCAGAAACATTTTTGACAACCACAATTATTTTGAAAACAAATTTCCGGGTTGTGGAGGGTAAAGGTTACTTCGCTGTAGCGAGGTCGCAGCTGGAGCTTTACCACATGTTTATATTCCAGAGTCGAATATACTTTTGCCAAGTGTACGATTTCTCAAACAATGATCTCTCCGAATAAGACGCTAAGCATGCGGCAAGACCAGGGGCGGGCAAGCTTTTTGAACCAGGGGCCAAAAATTTTGCCCACTTAGACTGGCGAACCATGTAAGTGTGACGTAAAAAATTACATTTTATGAACAATATCGTGCCAAAACTAAATTTAACCGCAATCTCAACAAATAACTAGAGCTATTTTAGCTGAAACATCAAAATTTGATTTCACTTCGGTTGGGCAGCATCAGGCGGGCCACATTAAATTACTCAACGGGCAGGATTTGGCCCGCGGGGCCGTACTTTGCCCATGTCTGAGACAGGCTCTTGAATCACATAAAATAGCCATGTTTATTCTTGCTTCAGCATCTTTATATAGTGTCATGGGGCGAAATTTTCGCGGGTTAAACCAGACTTGAACCCTGCAATAGTGACGACATAATGGCAATAACAATAGATCTGCAGAACGTGGGAAGTATTAATCATTTTACGTCCCAAATCCCCCCCCGACCTAAAAATTGTAAATTATAGCTCCCTGCTAACTCCCATGGCTCAACTGAGGAAATCCTAGGGCGTCAAACAAATCAGTAAAAATTAACGGAATTTCACAGTCACCACTGCTCTAACCACTAGGCCAGGGCTACTCATCTATTTTTACCGAAGATCCGAATACGAAGCTTCAAACTATTTGTGTCCGGACTTTACAAAAATTATATTTCGGCATCCTTAAACACGCACTTCCTCGGCCGACTAATGATTATTAGCCAATCAAGATTGTTTATTATGGCGTTATAGTGCTTTAATATATACTTAAATCTATAAAAGTGATTTTATAAAAGAAAACTTCAAAAGTGGGGCTAATGATCCAAAATAAAGAATTATGCGCGGTCCGAATCAAATACTCGAAAGGTCCGACTTCGGGCCTCGGTCCGCCAGTTGAGTAGCCCTGCACGAGGGCATCGCGTCCACTAATACCTCTAAAGCAGGGATGTGCAATCCCGTGCCCGCGGGCCGAATGAGGCTACAAGAAAAAAATGTGATGTCCGCGCAGACGAGCCAATTTTGAATGGTGTGCACGACGAGTTTTTAATTTCGTTTAATCTGGTACGTGCGAGCAATCTCTTTGATTTGCAAAGCTTATAGTCTAATTTATCATTTATTATCTATGCCTATGATGTGACAATGCCCTAACAGCTAGCTTGTGTAACTACTCGAATGTTAAATAAAAGTGCGACTCACGGTTTCACCCAGTTATTCGTTTCTGGCCTTCCTGTAATAAAGATTGCACAGTTGCACACCCCTGCTCTAAAGTTTAAGGCCCTCACGAAGTTATTTCCTCAGCTCTACCTCTCAGATCACACATATCTCATTTATGAGCACATTCTCCCGCGCAAAATCGTACAAACTAAGATAACATACGAACAATAAGCCAAATTCGGTCAAAATACCGTGATTTAAATTATTAAACAATAGAAAGGAAACGGATAAAAACAACGGAAACCAGATAAACGTTTTCGGTTTAAACCGGTTTTGGACCTCCTGAAGTATGCGCACCAGGATGACGCACAACCTGAACTCAGGTTGTGTACAAGGTTAGGGTTCAGGTTGTGCGACATCTTGGTGCGCATTCTTCAGGAGTACCCTAATAACTATCATACAAGCGGTAAACAAACATGCATTCGCGCCTCGGATACTGGACCGGCGAACGGTTGACGATTATCAGTATACTATAAAAACGATGCAGTTGAAATGGCGTTACTTCAGAAGTACCCCGGTTTTTATTTAATTGGGATCCTCAAGTTAGTACTATAGCTTGAGATCTACACAACTTACAGCACTAGCTTGATGTAGATCTCGCGCTAGAGCAGAGACGGGTGATTCCTTTACTAATGGGCCAGTTACAGATAATACACTAAGTTAGACTGGGCCGAAGGCTTAAAACTTAATATGAAAAAAACTGTGAATAGAACAGCTAGGCTAACTGACGTTTATTTAATAATAAGAATTACGATGTAACAATCGAGGTCACTATGACGTTATTCTTATTTTCAACGGAATTTTATATCCATGAAAACTATGGCCTTAATTTCAGAATACGCAAGTAGGCCGGATAAAACACTTCGGTAGGACGGATCCCCATCCCTGCTATAGTGTGTCAGACCACTCGCAATATCAGACCACTGTTTGTACAATGGAACCTTTTCAGAACGAAAGACCGGAAATAGCGTCAAATATTTCGGATGAACCCAGAGTCCAGGACGCACGCGACAAAACAGTTAAAACGAAATCATTTTCCGGCAAAAACGAGTCAGTTCTCGTTTTCCAATTAATGTGGGCTAAAAATGGCGGGAGCATCAAGGGCGCCCTCCATCGATATCCCACGCTTGGTTGAGTAAGGATCGCATTTATACAAAATTGTGACACTGGGATACTGCTAAATGAAACTAAATTTACTAATTTTTTTTATTTATTTAGAAGAATAACTTGGAAAGCATTGAAATTTCAGCGAAATTATTAAAATTTATGAATCAGTGACACGGAATAGTTCGCATGCTATTGTTAGAACAACATAATTCAAAAAATAATTCAAATTCTATGGTATTCTATGGTTAGATGGGGTTGCGGAATCGGAGCATAGACCGATTTGAACAGCTTTCAATTTATGCGAGTTCAAGAAATTCGTCCGAGATGCGTGACCTGCAATTCTAACACCATAACCCAGTGGTACCCAACCTTTTTTTAAGTGACATAAATGTTAA